TCCCACTTTACAGCTGCTTTTCTTTCAAGAAACTGGGAGTCTCACCATCCATCTAAATACAGCTTTCAAGGAAAATAGAGTTTGATCAAGCTACAATTTTGACTTGAGAATTGCCAAATGGGTGTTTGCTCCAGTTTTCCTCTCATTTCTCTGTTTTGGTTTTCCTAACTTAGTGAATGTGAGAAAACAGATTTATACTCAAAGAATATTTGGGTATTATTAAGGCACTCATGTAGAAAAGTCTTTCACTTCGTAAACAAAGTTGTATCCTTCGGTTCCTGACTTGTGTCTTCACCTGGGGTTTTTGTGGGTATTTATTTATTTTATAGAACCAGTTTTCTTACATATTTTGGGGGAGGGGATGTGTCATGATATGCACATGGGGGAGTTGCTTCTCTTATTTTTTACCATTTGATCCTGGAAATCAAATTCAAGTCCGTAGCCTTAGTCTTCATCATGTCAGAAAAACAGGTTCAACAGACCACATATCTCCACTTGAATAGAAGACTATTTTACACTAACATATTACATATGGTGCAATGCTACTCTTTTTTTTTTCAGTATGAAGAATATTTATTTATTTATTTTATTTATTTTTATTGGATGTTTTATTTACATTTCCTATGTTGTCCCCCTACCCCATCCCCCAACCACCCAGGAACCGCCATCCCCTCACCCCTCCTCCTTCTTCTCTGTGGATGTACCCCTACCTACCTCCCCACTCCCACCTCCCCACCCTCCAATTCCCACCCCCTGGGGCATCCAGCCTTCATGAGACCAAGGATCTCTTCTCCCACCTATGCCCAGCAGGGCCCTCCACTCTTACATATACAGCTGAAGCCATGGATCCCTCCCTAAGTGCTCCCAGGCTGGTGGTTTAGACCCTGGGAGCTGTGGTTGGTTGGTATTGTTGCTCTCCTCATGGTGCAGCAAACCCTTTCAGCTCCTACAGTCTTCACTCTGACTCCTCCATTGGGAACCCCATGATCAGTTCAAAGGTTGCCGGGAGCATCTGCTTCTGAAATGCTACTCTTAATAAAGTAATTCTGGTTTATTATTCCAAAGTATAGGGAATCAAATGGAAAACTGAAGTTTGTAGAAATGATATTAAAAGGTTCTCATCAATTTTATTTATTCAGATACCCAACATAGATGTTTACTACACATAAATTGTTTTAAAGTTCATATATTTTCTTTTTATACATTTTGAAAACTTGTTTGGTAATTCCATACATGAATGTAATATATTTCGATCAAACCCACTCACCTTTCCTAACTCTCCAATTCCTCCACGGTCTCCCTGGCCAATTCTTCTTCCTAACTTCATATGCTCTTTTATTTTTCTTTAACCCACGGAATCCACTTAACGCTGATCTGTATATACCCAGTGGTAGGACCATCTATTTGAGCATGAATAGTCTCTTAGGTGTCTAATTCCTGAAAAAAATTCATCTCCATCACAGGCAGCTATCGATTGTCAATATTTTTTTTTTCAGAGAAGGCTTTCACATCGTGTTCTGCTTCCAAAATGAAAGTTAGCATTTTGTCTGTGCTGGTCTTGTGCATGCAGTCAAAAGCTATTACAAGTTTATATGTTCAATAGTCTTGTCCTGTCCAGAAAACACTCTGATGCTTTAGATTTCTATTACCTCTGGCTCTCACAGTCTTTCCACTCTCTCCTTGTGATTATCCCTGAGAGGAGTGGTGTGATATAGCTGGCCTGATTATTGCTGTGCACTCCACAGTCTCTTATGCTCTGCAAGTTGACCAGTTGCCTCTATACAAGTTACTCTATACTGTCAAAGGAAGCTTCTGCAATACATTCTTAATGTATGTTTATACATGCAGTCACATATACTATTTGCTTTCTTAAAGAAAGCGTCAAATGTTGTGATGTTCTTAAGGCATGTAGAGGGTTTGGAGTAGTAGTGCCCAACTTGGTCTGTAGAAATGGAAACAACCATGTTTGTAACAAATTTAAAAATCATACTGTATTAGGAGATATAAGAAAAATGCAGCATAAATAAAAGGCCTTCAGATTCTCCTGCTTTCCTTTATTCTTGGACTTCACAGGGCCTTGGATGCTGCAGATGTAATGCTCTTCTTACCCCAATCCAATTTAGACAAGTCAATCAAATGGGTTCAACTCAGGAGGCTCTGCACTCGCCAAGCAGGGATGGGAATGGATTTATTGGCAATCAATTAGCTATCTTTTTTTTTTCAGGGTCATCTTCTCCAGGATGTGTTCCAAAGGAAATAGGTAGAAAAATCTTAGTCACCAGTCACAGGTCAGGTTCTCTGAATTCAGACTCTTAACCCACCCACTACCATAAAGAGCTGAGAGGGAAACCAGGCTGCATGCAGATGTTTGAGGAGACTGGACCATTTGGGGACTACAGGGAGCTATCTGTGTGAATATAGCTTTGAGGCAGATGACTGTTATCTACCATCAGCATTTCTGATTTCCAATTCCTTCAGTGCGCTTTGAAATTTAAACCATAGATGTCCAACATCAATAGAAATCATAAAACATTTTCTGGGGGAAATATTAAAAATCAAAATTTTATGACTTAAAAGATCTTTAGTTATACTCTAGATCCCATAAACCTATATCCAAATCTTCGAACTGTTTCAACATACTCTTCCACAGAAACTAAGTGGTGAAAAGGAATTACCCGGAAGAGCCCGCTTGAACTTGACAAAGTTTTTCAAATGCAGATTGTATGTGAGTAAGATTACACGTTTAATCAGGCTGTTAACACACAAAGCTGTTTTTCTTTAAAAATAAAACAAATCATTTCAGTTGGTGAAAGTTTTAAAATGGAAGAGGGCAGTTAGAATCAGAATCTATTTTTTTTCCATATCAAAATCAAGAGGAAAAAAAATAGCAGTAAGCAAGCCTCAGGAATACTCTGTGAACATCTTTACAAAGACTGAATTTCATGAGACAGAAATCTTGTGGGTACATGGCAGATATGGTGGCCCTGATCAATATATAAACAGTTTAGCAAGGATGTAAATGGCACAGTTAGAGAGCTCCCAACAGTAAAGGACACATAGGAGTGGAACAAGAAGGGGCAGTAGGGAGTGTTCTCACCAAGTAAAAGCCTCTAGATTCCCTGCTTGCAAGGTTTTAAATGGCATGTCTTTTATCTTTGTGAATTTCAATTAGACTCTTCAATGGACAAGCCAGGAAAGGAATATTAATGATGGCGGAGGAGAAGGCTGCATGTTGCTCCTTTCTTCATAGGGCCAGCTAAATAAGAAGAAATGTTTGATTAGGTTATAAGATGTTAAACGCTCATCGGAGACATGGTGGCTAATGGTTTAAAAGGAGCAGCCGAAATATTTCTATTGTAAGTGTCGACCTCTCTTCCCATAATCTTCAAAGCAAAGCTCAAATTTACTGTATATTAGCACTGCCAGTTAAGAAAACTGCACCATCTAGCAAACAACATCTGATTTTGTTTTGTGTGTGTGTCCAACTACCAAAATGATATATTTGGTACATATTGATTCTGAATGTAAAACAAGAGTCATTACAAGCTTACTAAACTACCCCCACCCCTTTCTCCTTTTATAGTGTCTCGCATTTATGAAAACTTCTGGGAAAAGGATGAAGAGAAGCTCTGGGTTGCCTGAGTAGAATGTTCATAAGATTCAGTCTCCTGTGCAGTACAAAAAAGAAAGGATTTTTCTTTTCTTTTTCATTGGTTTCCCTTTTCTTTTTCTGTTCGAGTTGCACGGTTCGATTTCATCGCACCAGATAAAACGGAAGAAAAAAAAATCAGACAGATCAAACACAGAATTCTCAAAGTGTATGATAGGTTTGGAATTACAAGTCCCTGCCAAGAAAAAGCCCTAAAGGGGGAAACCTCAGACTGCTCCATCTCCCTCCTGTCTGCAATGGAAAGAAGGCAGCGGGTTCCTTTGCTCCGGGCTAATGTAAACTTTTTATAGCTGAATCTTGATCACCAGGTAAGGAGAATGCCTGGACAAAGAGATTAGGCTAAAGCATTGCTGAAAGAAGGCAGGGGGTTTCTGAAGTGTAAGGTCAGCACAGGGCCCTCACTGATCCGCTATGGGCAAGCCTCCAGACCTCCTAGCTTGAGGGGAAACTGGTCCTAATTATGGGAGCACTGAGGATAGAGGTACATCCAGAGGGCTAAGGAAATCAAAGAAACTTCCTGCTGTGTAATTCCACGTAACGTGCGTTTAACATGGTCCTGCGTGGATGCGCTGATGACTAAGTAAAGGCGTGATTAGCCCCTTCGCCCTCCAGTGGGAGCCATACATCGTTACCTCTTCCAGGCAGCCACGTCGCTACACTAGGGATGATGTCGGGGGACCAGCGGCGGGGAGCGACCCGCGGGACCTAGGGCCTCCCAAACACACGCCGCTCACTCACAGTTCAGCACCCACACGCATCAGCAGCCGTCCCCTAACCCTTACACCAGGAAGCTCACTGCCTCCGGAGAGCGGCTCCGGGCGGAGTGTGGGCTCCACTCTCCCAGCGCGGTGTGGGCGCGGGCAGCGGCGCTCCCAGGCGCACTGGGGTGCCCCGCGCCACCCCGGCTGTGCTACCCCAGGTGCCCAGAGGGCGGCGGTCGCTTGGCCAGGATTAGGGTGGGGGGTATGGGGGTCCCCTATTCTCGGGAACCTCCTTAGTCCTCTTCCTTACGCTGGCTCCTCCTCCTCCAGGCGCGGGGCTCGTGCCCGCTGCTGCCTGCGCGCATCGCGCCTCCGCGCCCCCACCCCCGGCTCCTGCGATCGCTACTCCCTCCTCCTCTTCCTCCTCCTCCGCCCATCACCGCCACTACGGACGCCTTCGCCGCCTACTCCTCGCGCGGCCACGACTCCTCAAGCTCTGCTCCAGCTTCCACCAGCTCATCCATTCGCTGCCTGCTCTTTAGGCTGCTGCAGTCTCAGTCTCTCTCTCTCTCTCTCTCTCTCTCTCTCTCTCTCTCTCTCTCTCTCTCTCTCTCTCTCTCTTTCTCTCTCTCTCTCTCAAGTTTTCTGTGGAGACAGAATCAGAGCCACTGGAGGAAAACATCTACTTCTGCTTGCTGTTCAGGTAGGGTCGCAGACATTGATGGCAGCGGGGGACCTTTGCTCATTCTCCTCTGCTTCGCCAGCATGCCACCCCCACCCCACCAACCCACTCCACTCTTCATGCTCCTTCCACACGGAGGCTCAGGTTCTCCTATGCTCTCTAGCCTCCAAAATCTAATTCCAACGTCCCTCCTCAGCCACGTAAATTCGCAACTACAATAAAAATCCAAGAGCCAGTCCGGCGGCGGCTGCACGCTGGCCCGGCTCTTTTACAGTCTCCAACTTTGCACACACTGGCCGCGCTGCCTGCCTGCTCGGCGTCTGATCCTGAGCCTCACGCTCTTTTGGTAGTCTTGGCTCCGGAGCAGCTGTCAAACGGAGTTCGCAGCACTTGATTTCCACCCTGCTGCCTCTTGAACATGGACGTGGGCAATAGTGGAAGGGCAGGGAGAATGATTTGGATTTGATTTTCTATTTTTTGAGGCGGAGGGTGGTTGTAGCTGAGGAAAGTGGAGACTCGAGGACCGCAATTCACTGTAAGGAAAAGATACTAATGGAAAAGTAGGCTGCTTGCTGCCAGCTTTTCCTGCTGTGGTTGCGGAGGTGGTCTTTTTTGAGAGGGCGAGGCGTGGAGTATCCATCTCTCCACCTCTTTCGCACTCACTCCTCCAAGCTATTCCTTCATAAGCTCCTGTGTCAGTTTAGAGTCCCGGTGTTGTCATTTCATATGTGCACAGCGAAGTGTTTGCAGAGGATGGGGCTGGGGGGAAGTTACGGGCAGAGGAAAAACGTATTAGTGGTGTCATCCTGCCATTAAAAAAAAAAAAAAAAAAAAAAAAAAAACCCTTTCCCCCTCCCTGTCATCCAGCCTTACACTTAGTAGAAAGGAGTAACACCCACTCCCAGTTGAAATGGAATTCTTTTGGGTTACTTGCTTGGTAGGACTGAGGACAAATTTAATTTAATTTTGTTTTTCTTCCATAGCTTCGCCAACAAGGAAGATGAAGACAAAATTGAACACTTGCAACATATGGTCCCTGCTGCTTGTTGTCCTAGTGTGGGACCCAGCCAGGTGAGATGTTAATTTCAATTTCTTCATTTAAGGTCTAGGAGTGATTTTTAAGTGACACAATTGTATCCACATTCTTTAAAAGACTAGGTGTTTTGAGGAATTATTTTAGTGGAAATAGATTGTACAGGAAATTGACCTACTAAGTGTCAGAAACTCTAAAAAGTTTGCTGGTTCTTTTTTTTTTTTCTTTCGAAGCAACCAAACACAAAAGTGAATGGATTCTTTCCCCCTGTTTAAGGCATTTGATTGAAGAAGAGGCTACCCTATCAGGAACATATTAGTCCAAAGAATGCTGGTAGTTAAGGTACACATAGTTATGCCAAAATCTGGTAAAGAGGCCAAGCTCTCCTTGGAACAAACAAAAAATATATATATCAGCTAAATCATTTAAGTGACAACTTAGGATTTTTTTCATTCTGTTTCTTTCTTTGCATTTTGTTCTCAGTCACTGGGGCGTCTATAGACAACGTAGAAAACCTAACTGATATGTGAGTCTGAGACCTCTAGGTGGAAGCAGCATACAACTTGACAATCACAAACAATAAAGCAAAAGCTAATATATGAATCAACTTTTCATCTTATTAATTTAGAGATATTTTGTTTTCTAGATGGTTAATGATAAAAAAGATTGGTTACTTCAAGTGTGTGAATTTTCTTTTGCCTATTATCTACACGGAAATTAGTTTGATTGCTTGAAGTAATTTAATATTGATCATAGTCTTCTCTGATTTATTTATTTTTTATGTAAAACCAGCAGTGGGCATATTTTATTGAATGCATGTAGGGAATGGTTTTAAATGCAAGAAAAGTTAAAATACAAATTTTGTTAGAATTCTTCTGTAGCCATCACTTTTAAATGAGTGTTATATCATTTTATTAGTCCCCTTATGAGTTTTTACCAAATAATGTTTAAGATATTTTGGAACAGAAAAGAAATCTATTTGGAAATACTTCACTTAATTGGGAAGTGTCCACTCTGACTGTATACTGACTTTATTAAGAGAATCTAAACATGAAGGAGAAACAGACACCTCCAGGTGAAACACTTCAGCTAGACTCTTGCGACTGTCATAGGGACCAGCTTTAAAATCAGAATGAGAAACTTCTGAAGAGAGAGCATGTGAATTGATATTCTTACATAAGTTAGGATGTTCGTCTTCTTGTCCACACTTCAACATTCACTCTACTCTTCAAAATGCAAGCTTGAAGTTTGTTGCCAATTTTGGTGTATTATGAGTATTGTTGTCTTCTGGTTCTGCACTCATTTAAATGTAAATGGTCTCTGTCAGTGATGTTTTATATGATTATATATTGACTAGAGTGTAAGTACATATGCTCATTGACTTTAAAGGTTTGGACAGTCGATTTATCAATTAATAAGCGTCAAGAACCACCATTGACAGCTTAACTAAATATCCCTCTACACATTCTCAGTTCTATATTTCACCAATAATGTTCACGGCAGTATTTTATTCTATTATATAAATGATTCCTTTTTGGGGACTGTAATTTAAATCTCTGAATCATTCTGAGAAAAAAAGTGGCAATGAAAGGGGACACTCTGTTTTGTACGTTCAGTTTCTTTGGTACCAAATTGCTGTCAGAAAATCAGGTCTCTTTATGACGGAGAAAGAGTGGAGAAAAATCCCTGCCTCGAAAGCTTTGTTGGGGGTGTTTTAAGACCTCTTTTTCTTGCCACAAATTTATCACCAGAGAAAGGGTAACTGGACACTTTTATCTTTATGTAGCCCCTTATCACTCCTCTGAGACCACTCAAAGGACCAGGCCTTCATACTGTCTGTGAGGCTGTGTATTGCTTCTGCCTTCAGGCCCCACCTCCATCTCCTGGCTACACTGGAGCCTGGCAACCTGCCAGTGGAGTTCCCCTGATGTCTATATTATATTTGGCCATTGGGTGGAGGTATACCCTAAGTGAGGAAATTACCTTCATCTAAAAAATGTGAAAGACATAAGAGAACACTAATGCTGTTATGAGAATGATAGAGAAATTTTGGGTCACTAAGATAGCAGTTTATTTTCTAATTAATATTCACAACAACTGAAGAATTACTTCAGAAGTTTCTCTAGTTATTTTATCAATCTAACTGAAAACAGTCTTGCTGATAGTTTCTCCATATGAAAAACTACATATTTCACGCATATCTACAAACATGGTGTGTTCTAAAGAATAGACTTTAAGATTATAGTTCATACAGAATGCCAGGTGCAAGAAGTCTCAAAAGTGTTACCATTATTCTTTTGATATCTTAGTATTTACTGTTCTTTTTTGAAACAGTATGCTTACCTTCCCCATAAATTTCATGCTGTTTATAGAGTGAAAAAGAGAAAGAAATGTGTGTCACTAATAGCTGAAGAAGCTTTAAATTTAGTTAAATTCAGATCAAGGAGAAAGATCATTTTGGCACTTAGCCAAACACTGTCTGTACATATATGATACATACAAATGTGTAAAATTATCTGTTTAGGTTGGTGCTGGCTAACATCCAAGAAGATGAGGCTAAAAATAACATCACCATCTTTACAAGAATTCTAGACAGACTTCTGGATGGTTACGATAATCGTCTTAGACCAGGACTGGGAGGTAAAAATAGTTCTCCTTTATGTTAAACCTTCAAAAAAACCAATGACTTTACAAGTTAAAGGTAGTATCCTCATCTCAATGCATTTCATGCATGAAGAAATTGTCAAGCATTTGAAGCCCTAGATAATGGAAATTAAAAAACACAAAATAATTAAAAATTTCCATTGTACATGTCTAAACTATTTAGTTACATATTGTGTAGAAATACCTCATATTCATATAGAGACGTGTGTGTGTGTGTGTGTGTGAATAGTTTTATAGTTAATTCATTAGAAACATCCTGTTTTCTATGCAGAGAATATATCTGTTTATATTATTTATCTGATGTGCCTGTGTAGTATCAATTATTACTAAATTACCACTTTTACAAATGCCCATTTTCAGATCAGCATAGATACACAATAACAAGAGAAATAAAGATACTTTAAATACGTAGTGGCTGTAATTCTACTTTACAAAGTTGTCACACAGGTGAATTTCAAGCTTCAACAATAAATTTCAAGTAAAAAAAAATTTTCTTTTAAGTCTAAGGAAGTAAAGGAAATTAGAGGCAGCTAGTGTGTCATATGCCAGTTAGTCTTCAGGATTGCTAAGTGACACTAAAGTCTTACTTAGATTCAAGTAAGCATGCAGGTGGGACTGCTAAAAATATTTCAAGCCAAGAGATTGTTACTCATGAGTTTAAACAATGCTTAATGCTTATCTATTTGTACAGATATAGGTATGTTACTTAAAACGCTAATTATGAAATTACATGTGATAAGTATGCCCATGTACACATAGTTATTGCAATGGTTAATTGATTCAAAAATAAGGCAAATTAGCTGAACATTCCATGCCAGGCGATGGTCAGTACAGTTTGTGGTTGCTCCAGGTTTTACAGCTTTTTGATGCTGCTGGTAGGACTTGTACTGCGTTGGGCCTGGTGACACACACCTGTGGTCTCAGCATTTGGGAGATCGAGATAAACTGATTAGGCATTCAAAGCCTTACTTAGCTAAACAAGGAGTTTCAGTCTAGCCTGGGGTACATGTGACTTAGTCAAAACTTTATATCAAATCAGTGTGTGAATTTTTATATCAGTAATTATTTGATAAAGATAGACAGTTGTTAATTTTCAGGATATCTTTGGAAATTGTACAGAATGTCTTGACAGTGGCAGGAAAACAGCCAAACAGACCCAACCTGTTAAACAGTATGTCTTTTAATTTCGTTTTATTATTCACGTGAATTCTTGAGTGGTATCTCAAATTTAAAATACGGCCCAGAGAAGAACAGTGTTTCAGAAATGACACAGTGACAGGTTGTATTCCCAAGATTTTTTTTTTTTCAGGAGAAAACTTGAAAAAGAAAAACACTTAATTTTCTAACAGAAAACATACAAAGGGAGACTGTATTTTCTTCATACTAGATATTTCTAGTTGAAACATAACAGCTTAGAAATCATGGTAGAAAATGTGCCAATAAACTATTACCATACTCATGCTAGAGAAACAAGTCTAACACAGAACTGTCCTAATCTGTAATGCTAGTTTATGAAATGGATTGCACAATAGCCCCTCTTTTATCACAAACATAGAAAATTATGTATTTAAATAAATTCCTGGTGCAAAGTAAATTGTAAAATATAAAAGCTAGACCTTGAACCTCATTGTTTTCCTTTGCTTTTGGGTTGCATGGCTGGGTTGGAGAAGCTACCTATTTTCTCTCTCAAATATTTCCATGATCTCTAATTTTTAAATACTATCTCTTACATTAAAATTCCATTTACTCACATTTACGTATAGACCCCAATTGTCTTGGCACTTGGTTCAATAGAATATATTTTGTCATTTCTTGTGTTACTCTTTTTCTTCCTCAATCCCTCTATAATGATCATTTTCTAATATTACAAGATCTGATTACTCTTATTACCTGATGCTGCTTTATGTGTGCCACTCTCTTCTCTGAATCCCACACTTTCGATAGTTCCCAATTCGATAGATACTGTTGATGATACTGGAAGAAGCATACATAGGCTGAGGGTCGACCTGTATCTACAGTGGTGTTCTCCATGCCACGCCTATTAAGGTGCCAGAGCAGAGAAGCCTTGTTTCCTCTGATTAAAAGCGTATAGGCACTATTTGTACTTTTCTGTTTTATAACTTGACTAGGAATGTTGCACAATAACACTAGCTACATAATAGTTCAGCAAATGCTCTTTTCTTCCCCTCGTCATAGGATCACAAACAAAACAAAATAAAACAAACACATTAAGAAGAAAACCAAGTTTCCTGCAGTCTGCTTTTCGGGATACATTTTCCATGTTAAGTCAATTCTCATCTGCCTGGCACCTCAGACGTCACTATTTTCTTTTGACAATCCATTTGCATCTACTCTCTTACCCCTTGGCTGTATTATCTCCTGTTACTAGAGTGACTTTTATTCCTCTTCTCAGCTGATTGAAAGCCTAACATTTGTACAAAAACTGTTACGACACTAGTGATCTTTAGTGCAGACCTTCTTGAAATAATTGAAATATTGAGATTCAGTTCTATCTGTTGAATTTCTTTAACAGTTGCTGTTTCTATATCTAACTTATTAATATTGTATTGTATTATTTATTTCATTTCCATGTGCCTCTTATTATCTTAAGATTGTAAGGATTCGCATCATAAATCCTCTGTGGTTTCTGCCACTGGATATTGATTAGCATATTGTGGCCATAAAATAAATGTTGATTTCTGGATTAAGTTTCTGCCACCTGGAAAATGGGAATACTTGTACCTAGGTGCCTTCGTAGTTATGAGTACTTAGGAAAGCAGTGTGACTCATTGAGAAAAAGCCTCTTACTCAGAAGATTTAACACACCATTTCTGGTCCCCAGCACTTGTGTAAACTTTAAATATTCTGCCTCTGTAGATGCACACTTATTATTCCTGAACGTAAGGTTTATATCACAGTTCTTTTGATAAATGTTGAGTATGATGTCATATACAATTGCATATTGCAAAATGATGTACATATTGACAAGTAGAAAGTGACTGAAGGCCAGTGAAAGTTTTCTAAGTAGACTCTTGCAAACTTAAATTATCATGATTACTTTTACATTGCAATGTATTCTTTTTATTTGTAATTATGTCTATGTCTGGGTGGTGTGTATGCACCTAAGAACTGGTCTTCTTGCAGGTCAGAGATGACAGAGTCTCCTTGAGTTGGAATTACAGGAGGTTTTTTGGATGCTGGGGAATTAACTCCTGTCCTCTTTCAGAGTAGCATACACTATTTATTGCCTAATAAGCTCTCTACCTAAAAGTCTTAACCTGAATGTACATATGTCACTTGAAATAGAAAGCTCAGGTAAATAATCTGTCACATTCCATAAATTAGTATAGGAAATGGGCTATATTCAATTCAATAATAATATACTAAAATGAACATGCTCATTGATAGCTAGTTAGATAATTAATCATAAGTGGTACTTTTATCTTTTTATAAAACATCTATTTGTCTATCTATCTATCTATCTATCCATCCATCTATCTAAAGAGAAGTCATATTTTAACAATAAGTTAGTAAAGTTATTCAGCTCTCTTTACTACTAGATCTCATACCAATAAGTTCCTTAGACACGCCAAGACTTGATATTTTGGGGGGCAGGGAAGTGATATTTAATTGGAGTAAGTGGTCATATTTAATTCTATCCCATCAATCTTGATTGCTCTTACTTAGTTTCATTATTCTGTAGACACTTTTAATATAAAAGCTCATTTATTTATTACTGTAAAGTTAATTGCCAATTGTGTCTCTTTTTAAGACACACGTAGACTGTCAAGTCTATTTGTTTTGCAAATTTTCTTGTATGATTTACTGTTATATCTATCCTAATTTTTCAGAACAATGGTTCAGATAAGCACCTGTGAATCTCTTGAATTAACTTTAATTCCAGTGAATTTAAGTTTTAGCATGCATCAGAAAAAGAATTACCCGTACATATTACTTTTATTCTTAAGAGAAATGCAATAATTTTGAACAGATTACCATATTGTCCTTTCAATATTTCTATCAACATATTTAAAGATAACAATTAGGTGGATCAGAGCAGTTTCACTATCAAATTATTCAAAACCAAATGATTCTTCAACAAACTAAAAGTATGATTTGAAATGATTGTCATGTCTTATTTCTAGCATTATTTCCTATCTGTGAAATGGGATATTGAGTTCTATTTATCTACCTTTTCTCTCACATATATGTTTTATAAGTAATCTAGCCATAGTGTCTTTAAAAAGCATCATGTGACGTACCACTGGAAGGCGGTGGGAAGCACATCAGGATTTGTATAAATATCAGAAGCCATCTTGTTATGAAGCCTATCTCTTAGGAGGTGGTATTCTTTGAAAAACATACCAAGGAAATAATTATAGGCCTTGAAAATTTGCAGTCTAACGTGTTCATAAGATGGAAGACCCAAGATAGAATTGCCCATAATCTTGTCAATCAAGAATATACATTAAAATTAACCAGCACTTGCTGGTACATGATTAAAGTTACTCCTTTATCTTCGTGTTAGACATTGGAGATAGCAACCTAGATAAACTGATATTTTAGCTTTCTGAGGAATTACTCAAATTGTTAACCTAAAAAGACCAACATTTGTTTTTAGATCAATTTTCTGGGGTCATTGGCAGAAGAAGTGTGTAGACAGGCCTCATACGTTTATGACAGTTAACAGTCACAGTGCTGCTCAGTGATGATAACTATTAGAAATGACAGGCCTTGACATTTAAATTATGAATGCAGTCTGTGAAATCTAGATTGAGTACCACGCTTAACTACATTTTTGAAAAGTGGTTTTGAAGAGCTTGACTAGAACATATTTTTCTAGGGTTCTTATTTTATGATCTGAAATCATAAGAAGTTGAATGTCAGCAATTATGAAAGACATGAGGTCAAGTCATTGATTTCAGGTCTGAATATCAGTTTATAAGTTCAGTCTTATCCTTAGACTGCAGAGAGAT